AAAATATAACCGACTGTGCTGTTTTATTTAGTTGAGTAGCACAACTTTCCCTTTTAAAGCATTTTGCTTCCCATACACTTCATAACGAAATTAAACTGCATGTCAACATATAATAAAAAAAAAAGATATAATAAGCTGTTAACACTCACATACCAACGGTTAGACTAGTGTACTTCCTCCATAATTTGCATGTGGGATTTCTCATGTTTTTACTAACCATACCACACTGAGTTCTCAGTGCTGATTTGACATCACTGCTGCTATCTTACCTAACATAAGAGACAAAATGAATACTAACTAGGAGATGTGTAGACCAGGTGAGCAGATTTCAGATTTAAAATGTGAAAAAATTCTGTCTTAATATGTTTTGCCGTTTAGACACACTCATCAGAATCTAGGCTGTGTTTCCCAAAAGCATCGTAAGCCTAAGTAGATGGTAGGAACTGCTGGCACCAATGGTTTCTATGATCTGCTTAGGTTTACAACACTTTTGGGAACTGCAGCCTTGGTCTATGCCAGATACCAAGTAGTGGCTTGACTTTGACTCAATGTGAAATGGCTTGGCAAGGTCTGGAGATTTTCCTCCTTTTGTGGAATCTAATTTTACCTAATGAAGACTTATTCTTGAATCAATTCAGGTCTTTTCTGACCTGTGACTAGACACTTGATCCTTAGCTGGAGCTCGACTTGTTTGACGTGAAACACTGACTTCATTTGTGTCTGCTTTGTGTGCACTATTACACACCTGTTTGGCGAGTTAAAAAAATGCAATAATGAAAAAATATTATTTGCATTTACATTTGCATTTGCATTTTTTCATTTAGCAGACGTTTTTATACAAAGCAACTTACAAATGAGGAATACAACAAGTGATTTATTTTAAGGAGGTTGTAGCATACGAAGTCCTGTAATACGGAGTATCAAAATTGTTCAGAATTGTACAGGTTAGAATAGAGCTAAAAGTAAGAAATAAAGAGAAGGATAGCTTTTATGGAATTAGTGCATAGTAAATAGAAAGTGTATAGACATATACACACTACGATTCAAAAGTTAAAAGGTCAGTATTTTTTAAAACAAATTAAAGACGAGTAATGATGCTGAAAATTCAGCTTTGCTATCACAGGAATAAATTACAATTTAAAATATAATCACACAGAAAACCTTTTTTAATTGTAATAATATTTCACAATATTACTGTTTTACTGTATTTTGATCATATCAGTGCAGCCTTGGTGAAATCTTTCAAAACATTAAACATTAAAAAAATGCCAGACTAATGAACAGTAGTGTTTATATATAGCATATATCATGCTATGTATCATGTCTGTGCAAACAAACAGTGGGCATAGTGCAAAGAACCTGCACTAACAGATAGAATCCACACTGTGTTGGTTGTGGTTTCAACAGCAACAATTTTAGTAGATAAGCATCTAAACAACCGCGATGAGTTCTTTTAACACTCGTTCTTTTGCGCTCATGTAAATGCGATTAATTATGCGCCCAAGATCATTTGCTCTAGACAAGAGCACTAGACTTGTGCCGTCCTTGTCTTTTGTGCGAGTGTTTTTAAATGTAAATGCAAACCTACAACTGTTGCGGAGGGCGCCTGGAACATGTCTATGAATACTAATGAAACAGCCTTTTGAGCAAATTCACCGTGATGCTTAAACAGTACTGGTTTACTCTCTTGGTCATCCTGTTTTTGCGCTCTCTCTCCTGATTTCTCATTCTGTTTAGTGATTGTCTCAGCAGTGGTCAAGGTGAGGTTTGTGGCTGTTCCCATTTTCAGAATGATTCTCTGTGGATGTAACATTGTCTGGGCTCAGTATATGGCCTGTGCTGCTTTGTAAAAGGAAATGAAGGTGAGCTTTCAAACAGCTGACAGCTGCATATTGGCCGGGACCTCTTATGACTGTACCCGACACACTCCAGAGTTGTCCTGCCCTGCCAAATCATCACAATTGCACACTTGAAAGAGATTTTTCTGACAAAGCAGCGTCCACACATGGTTCAGGTGGTCACCGGTGGGATCGCTCACGCCGGCTCACTCGGCATCTGGCATTAACATTCACTCTGAGCCATACGGAAGAGCGAGATAACCCACCATGCTTTTGTTGTCCTTTATCTGTGCGTAGCATTAATTGTTCACAAACTTCATTACTGAAAAGACTCTACCTACAGAAATGTATATTAAACCACTGCCTGTTTATGTATTCTAAAGTGCAGATTGAAAGGAGAATATGGATTAGAGTAAACATTTATGTGCATGCAGTGCTGGATTTATGAATATAAGCCATTATAAGGTTGCTTCAAAATGCTGTCACTGGAGCTGTGTACTACTTTGGATTTCTGCTATCAATTCATTACAGTGTTAGGAGGATGATGATGATTATCTTTAATAACAATACTAATAACAATAACTATTATTATTATTATTATTATTATTCTACTGTATTAAATCAACACCTTTTTAAATGTTTTTAATCTATTCTATAATTACAATAATTATGACTTTTAGATTTTAAGCAATACTAACATTATTATTAATATTATATTTTTATAATATATGTACTACTACTACTACTACTACTACTACTACTACTACTAATAATAATAATAATAATAATGTAGGTATCACAAAATAAAATAACCATAAGATTAATGACAAACGTTAAAAATAAATGTATTAATTAAATACTTTCTTTTTGTTATTAACAACAACAATAATACATATATTTTAATATTTTTTTTATTATTATTATTATACTGTATTACATTATTATTATTATATTATTATTATTATTATTATTATTATTATTATTATTATTAATAATAATGTAGATATCACAAAATCGAATAACCATAAGATAAATGACAAATGCTAAAAAATAAACCTATTCATTAAATAAATTATTGTTGTTAACAACAGCAACAACTTTTATAATTGTATTATGGTTATTAGATTGTTGTTG